TGAAGGGAGATATTTATATCAAGAAATGCCTTATGCGCTTGTAGAAATAGGTTAAGCCCAGTCCGGTTCAAATCAAAGTGGTCTGCTGGAGGCTCCTGGGACCGGCAGGCAATGCAACATGAGACTGAGGAATCCGCCACAAGATCCAGCTCCAGTAGGGTGCAAAGGGCCACAGGGAATCTGCTCTCTCTTATAGAAACAAGCTTATGACGCAGGGGAGGTGTCATCAGGCTTGGATACAAGCGATAGACTGAGATCCACCCCTAGCCTTACCCAACAGGGTCCAGCTGACACGATTCCAGGCCATCACACTGGGATAGGTAGGTTTGTTGTGCCAACGTGGCCAATGAACACATGTGGGATTGGTTATAGGACAGAGAGAGAAATAGCTCAGCGAGCCTCGCCTCTCTCTCTCTTGCTCTTTGATCACCGGACCAGTGTACGACTGCCTTGCTTGTTCTTTGCCTCAATTTGAAGCTACATTACCTGTGGGACACCTAACCCGTGGACTGTGTCGCTGTCATTTGAGGTTCCTTCAAGACCTGCTTCGCCACACCATTGGACTTTACATCTCTTGAGCTGGGGACTGCCGGACCCTGTCATCTGGCTGACTGTTGGTGACCTGCTTGCTGTTTGCTGCCTGTGCCCGGATAGCCTGAATTGCTTCATGGAGGACCACCCCGCGGCCCTCAAGACTTGAAGGACTGCCAGTGTACTAGCTGTCTCACGGGAGTGAGTTGCACTGAGCCATTTGTAGTGCTTTATAGCTTAGTTAACTGTTTATTGCTTATGTTATCTATCTATGTAAATATATACAGAATTATTAGTGTCCTGGTTTTGTTTCTCTAGAGAACACTGTCTAACACACACACTATCCATAATCTGTGTGACCCAGGTGAGCGCCTTTGCACAGTCAATAAAACACAGGTAGACAGCTTTCTGGTATTCATTCCTTTCACCCAAGATCCGTCTGATATCAGCAGTGGTTTCCCTCATTCCACGTCCTCTTCTGAATCCAGCTGTAATTTCTGACACCTCTCTGTTGACGTACTCTTGCAACTGCTTTTGCATTCTCTTCAGCCAAAGTTTACTTTTATCAATGATATTGTTCAATAATGTCCACATTCGGTTGGATCCACTTTCTTCGGAAGGATCACAAACATAGATCTCTTCCAGTCGGTTGGAAATGTTCCCTCAGTGCCTTCAGGGTTGTGTCCATTGGTTGAAACCATTCGTTTGGAAGGCTGTCGATCTTTACAGGAGCAGAAAGCCTCGTGGTTGTGTACACACACACACACACACCTCGGAGCAGCAGGTGGGTTTGAACTGCTGCAACCCGCTGCCCCACTCGAAACACAAAAAGCAGCGCCATCAAATCCAAGTCCTCTAGGAGGCAACTCTAGAAGACAGAGCAGAATTGCCCCTGTGGGAGTCTAACTTTTTATGGAAGCACAAAGTCTCATTTTTCTTCTCTGGAGTGATTAGTGGTTTCGAACTGCTACCCCTCTGATTAGCAGCCCAACACATAAACCCTAGGTCACCAGGGCTCCCCACTGTGCCACTCAAACAAACAAACAAACAAACAAAGCTCACTGTCATCAAGGCAATGCTGACTCACATCGACCCTGCAGGGCAAGGTAGAACTTCCCCTGTGTGTTTCCAAGAGTGTAAATTCTTTACAGGAGTGGAAAGCCTCTTCCTTCTCCTGCACTATACCACTAGACCTCCCCGAAATATGCCCTCACTAAAACCAGACTCCCTGCTTTCCAGCCAATTCCAATGCCCAGAAACCCTACAGGGCAGAGCAGAACTGCCCCTTTGGGTTTCTGAGACAATGAAGCTTTCTGCTCCCACAGGCTCTTTATTGGAGTAGAAAGCTTCATCTTTCCCCTGTGCAGTGGCTGGTGGGTTTGAACTGCTGACCTTGTGGTTAGCAGCCCACTACATCACCGGGGCTCCTTCCTAGAAACAAGTCCTTTCATTCACGACTCACTGCCATCGAGTCAATGCTGACTCACAGCGCCGATACAGGGCACAGTAGAACTGCCTCTATGAGTTTCCAAGTCTTTTACTCTTTACAGGGGCAGAAAGCCTCGTCTTTCTCCCTAGCAGCTGCTGGTAGTTTCAAACCGCTGACTTTAGAGGTAGGAGTCCAATGCAAAACCCCTGTGCCACCAGCACTCCTCAAGCTGTGCCCCAGAGCTCCTAACATCAGTCTCTAGAAACCAGGTATAGACTGGCAGCGTGCAATAACTATATTACTTGGTTAGAGCCCCAGGGAACCTTAAGGGGACCTGCTCTGAGTCAACCAGTGGGGACCACTGTCAAACCGAATGCAGACTCCAGTTCTCACAGCAGGTAGTTAGCGGCGCCTCCACGCAAGGAAGGCTGGCGGGCTGCTGGGCCCTCTCTGGAGCACCAGTATTTTAATAGAGCAGAGGATGTGAGCCTGACCACTGTGATCCTTTCCAGATGAGAACAACAGCCCAGTGCACAAGGCAGGGCCCTCCTGGTCCCCTGGGAGACAGTCTGCCTGTAAGACTGGGCTGGCCAGAGGCCCAAGTCAAGGCCTGAGAACCGGCTGCCAGACCTGGCCCTGACTTCCCTGCCCTTGCTCCCTCTCCAGCTGGTAAACCCACTGGTCCAGCCCTGCCAGTGTCTCAGCCCCAAGTCACATCTGTCTCCTACCTGCAAGCCGACTGGCTGCAGAGGGCAGAGGTGGGCTGGTGCATTCCCAGAGCCCGAGTTCTTTGCACCCCAACCCCAGCAAACTGCTTCCTCCCTCTCTCTAAGCTGGGGCCTTCATCTGTGAAGTGAGGTTAAGGCGGCCTCGTTCACCGGGCGGTTTCTCGTGAGTTCCATGGGAGGCGGGCTGAGGGAACCGAAGGCAAGAGCCGTGTTGAATGCATCAAATTAGCAAAAGGTTAAAAATACTACTCCGTGCTTGTGAGCTAGGATAAAGGGGGCCTATCCTGTCCTGCTGCCTGCAGGGAGAATGCACCAGTATGGGATGGGGGGGAAGGGGGGTGGGATTTAAAATTCTGTATCCAAGTAAGTCTATATGGACAACTTAAATTAGAGGTTGGCTAGGGCAGCCGTTCAGAAATCAAAGGATGGATGGCGTTGGGCAAATCTGCCGCATAAGACCTCTTCAGCATGCTGAAGAGCCAGGGTGTCACTTTGAGGACCAAGGTGAACCTGATCCAACCTGATACTGTTCAGTCACCTCGTATGCATGTGACCGTTGGACGGTGCAGAAGGAAGATGAAAGATGAATGGATGCATTTGAATTCCGCTGCTGGTGGAGACTACTGAAAGTACCACAGACTGTCAGAAGAACAAACAAAGAGGTCTTGGAAAGAGGACCGTCAGAAAGCTCCTTAGAAGGGAAGACGGTGGGATTTCATCTCATGTACTTTGGATATGTTATCAGGAAAGACCAGTCCCTGGGAAAGGACACCATGCTAGGCTGAGAGTCCGCACAAAAGAGGAAGTCCCTCAGCGAGATGGATTCATAAAGTGGCTGCAACCATAGGCCGCAACGTAACCACGGCCAGGCTGGGCAGCACTGGGCAGTGCTACGTCCTGTGGCACAGAGGCTTGCGATGAGGCAGAACCCCTCCGTGGCACCGAACCACACCAATAGGGCTTGAGGGAGTCCCTTCAAAAAGCTCAAAACCAAACTCACCACCTCTGAGTAGATTGCAACTCATAGGAAGCCTGGTATGAGGTTGCCAAGGCTGGGAATCTTGACAGGAACCAACAGTCTCCCACAGAACAGCTGGTAGATTTGAACCAACGGCCTGGCAGTTAACAGCCCAAATGGTTGATATGTTCAGCTAACCAAAACGTTGGAGGTTCGAATGCACCTTGACCGAAAGGCCCCATGATGCTCTTCTGGAAAATCAGTCATTGAAAGCCCTGTGGAGCACAGTCTACTCTGACCCCAGGGCTCCTCAGGGTCAGACAGCCTGGAGAGCCACTGGTTAGGGCTGGGAAGAGGGGAAGAACGGGAACTGACTGCGGGAGGGGGGGTGGGGAGCATGGGCTTCTTTTAAGGGTGATGGCAATGTGCTGCCATTAGAATGTGGTAACAGTGGTAGAACTGTGATTATGGGGGGGGGGATTTTTTTAAAACCAACTCGCAAAAAAACAAAACAAAACCAACTCATTCTCTTTAGATGAGGAATTGCATGGCGGATGAATTAGAGCTCGGCACACTATCTTTTAAAACTTTTTAAAAGGTTTACATAAAGCTGCTTTGTTTCAGCACCGCTTGTGACAGAAATCAACTTCGTAAACAACCCAGAACACCCAGCAGTGGAGTACATGGGCAGCTCACCCTTACAAAGGAACTCCCACTGTGGCTAGTGCCCTCCCCTGGCCCTTCCCACAGGCTCAGCGCCCCCTATTCCTGCCCAGCCGACCTCGCTGCGGGCCCACCTTTCCCTACTCGCCAACGAGCTTCCAAAGAGGAATCCATGACCCAAGCGGAAGCCAATTGGCGCAGTGTACCCTCTGACCGCAATGATTGGTTCCGAATAGGCACGTGACCTGCCTGGACCCAATCAGAGCGGAGCTCCGATTTCCGTGGGGAATGCTTAAAAAACACGTGGTCCTCTCTATCACATTTCAACCTGCAGCTTCCGTTGGTACCAGCCCTGGGCTCCCAAAGCGAGCCCGACAGACTGGAGAAACGCCAAGGAGACAGCGATGAGCTGGAGATGGGGAAACTGAGGCCTGCCAACGGGCATCCGTCAGGCATTGCCTGAAGCTGCCCCTGGATAGCATACCCCATGGGTCTTGATCTGTTCATCTGCTTTAGCAAGCCTGGGCTGGAGTCGCTACTTAAGCACCAGGAAATCCTAAGTAGTCCCTGGCCGCCCCACCACACACCCCTGATGGAGTCTGGGAGCCACATCAAATCCAAGAAATGGAATGCCCCCTCCCAGCCCAGACCCCAGACAGAACCGCACATGTGTACACACACACACCGCACAGCACCGGGTGGACTTTTATTTGAAAATCGAAGGCACAGCCCGGATGGGCTGGGGTAGAGAACGCGGATGCCCAGCCCAGACCCCAAGGCTCCGTCCCCCAGCCAGGGGCACTGTGCCAATGGGGAGGGGTAGGTGAGAAGGGGACTCCCTTTTAGCGGGGTGACCTGCCTCCATCCTCAGCCCCAACAGGGAGAAGCAGGTGACCTAAGGCGAAGCAGAAATGCTTCGGGGTCCCCTAGGGTCTCTCCCCTCAACCCCCCAACACAGGTCTTTGGTGGGCAGAATTGCACAGACAGTCCATAAAGTGACAGATGGAGGGGAACATTCCCCCAGAAGCAGGGCCTCAGTGGAGGTGGGGGGGCAGGGGAGGGACCCCAGTTTTTCCCCGTGGCAGCTCTGTACTGAGGAGCAGGAGAGGTGTCCTCCCCTGCTGTAAACGCACCCCCAATGGGTAGACCCAGGATGAAGCAAGGTCTCCCTAGAGGGTTCCCCATGCCTCGCCCTCCGGCAGGCCCCCTCACTCCCTGTATCCCTAACTTTACCTGGTAAGACATAAAAAAAAATTCTCTGCTTATAAAAATACGTCTGCTCTGTCTGGAAGAATGGGGAAGGAGGAGGGAGGGGCGATCCCTAGGTACAGGACCTCCCAGGGGCCTCCCAGGTCTGGACACGATGGGGTGGGGGGACGGGGGTCACAGTGGCAGGGGCTAGGAGGGAGACAGGGGGCCGTTGGCCCGGCGAGGCGGCCCCTTGGCGGTTGGGGAGCGCCCCGGGGCGGCGGGGGTCGCGGGGGAGCCCCTGCGGGAAGTGGCCGCGCTCCGCAGCTTCAGCTTGCGCCGCTTGGCCAGAGGCGCGTTCTCCACGCTCTTCAGAAAGAAGCCCTCTCGCTTGCCGCGGTTGAACGCCTGGCAGCGGTGCGAAATGGGTGAGCTCAGGGGCCTAGCTTGGGCACACCGTCCCCATCCCCGTCCTGCCACCATCCGCCCCCACACACACCCCCACCGCCTCTCCACCCTCTCACCCCAAGTCAAGGCCAACAGGTCCTTGGCCTCCATCCTCGCGAAAGGTCGGAGCTCGTGGCCCGCCGGAAGCCTCTTCAACTTTGGGGGGCTGCCCCCTACCCTCTCCCCACCCCCAGCATCCAGGAAGCCCCGCCCCTCACCATGAAGGTGGCGTTGAGCCCGGAGCGCACTGCAGGCCCAGCAGACTCCAGCACGTCGGGCGTCCGAAGCGGCGGCGAGGAGCGCGCACTGCCGTCCTGCAGCCAGGAGCTGGTCCGCAACCCCTCAAGTTTAAGCCGCTTGGCTGGGTCCACCGTCAAGAGCCCTAGAAGGCGGCGGGGAGGTTGATGAGCACCC